ACCCTGAGCAAACAGCTGTGAAGACTCAGCTGCTGTTACCAGCCTTCACTTTAGCTCAGAGCTACCTTTCTTGCTGATTTAAGCGAATTTATAGGATGTGGAGAACCACGGTCTTCCATCTCTGTGGGGGACGGTGCCTGTGCTGTCCCTGAAGCACCAAGCCAAGTCACGTGCAAGGGATAGTAACCTGCAGCAGAGCAGAAGGAAAGACAGTTGCTGGTGAAAACAATTTCTATCACCGAAGTGCCATTCAGCAGAGCTTGTCTGACAGAGCCCTCGGTATAAGGGACAGTTTCACGGTCAGAAAAGTAAATCTAGCTTCCAGTGCACCTCGTGTTGTTCTTCACCACAAGAAATTATTCAAACCTGCTGGAACATGGGTTTTGCAGTCAAAAGCAGCCTTTAGAGTTACAGATAGGTACCTATAGTGGAGGAAAATGGTTTGCAGGGAAACAGGTCACCTTCAGGGAGTCAACTCTTCATGAAAATGAGAGAAAACTCACTTAGTTCAAGGAAAGCTCCTTGACACCAGCCTTTTGCAATTGAATTAGATATGCAGATGTCCTTATCAAGGGTGGCTCTGCTAGATTTTTCAAGACATCAACAAAAACTTTGCAACTGCAAAAGGACCAGAATGGCTGAAAAATAAAAATAATTTTCCACTTCTGAAACTTGCCCATTTTGAGCAAGTGGGCAAATGGGTTCAGCATTTTCAAAGTATTTAAAAGTTAAACATCTTCCATTATTGGCATCATTATTTTTGTGTACCTGCTGTTATTAAATCTTTCGTAAATGGGAAACAGAGCAAAGTATTCTATGTTAGGAATTATAAGCTCATGACAGCCATTCGGCATTAAATTACAAAGACATCATAACAAATATCATCAGACAGACAGAAGAATAGACTAAGATTAATAATTGTTAATGTTCACTTTGAATGCAGGTAAAACTGATGGATTTAAATTCAATGTCAATAGTTATTCATATCTTTAGGTTACTATACGTTAACTGCAGAAAACCTGCTTTTAGAAGAAAATAGAAAGGCAGGTTGTATTCCTTTTAAATGGAACAGGTGATATTTGAGGGGAAGCAAGTGAGATATAACTGCAATCACATTATGTCATTACCGCTGAAATTATAATGAGTCCTTGTGAACTGTATATGGTAAAGGGAGAAGTTTCTTGGGTCCCTACCCCTTTGGATCTGTAGGTGTCCGGCACAAGCTGGAGGCCTTGAAAACAGACACCAGTTCTCATCAATGATAAATCTAACCTGTTCCTTTCTAACAAAATCTCCTAAAGCATGAGAGGCGTAGAGACCTCTTTCAATCTGTGAGAGAAGAGAAATCAGAGCCCCATTGTGATCACCAGTTTCTCATATGGCTTCATACCTGCTGGGACACGGGTTTTGCAGTCTGCTGTGAGAACACACCCACTTGCACAGAACACTTCTGTGCACTATTTTTGCCACTGCGCATCACTCACAGTTGCACAATTTGATGTTTCTTAAATTATGACCTTTAGCTAAGATCTTACTAACTTTGTTGGCAACACATCAAGCCAGCCATGTGAAAGGCATGAAGAGTTAACATTATTCCTTACGCTACAACGGCACTGCAACACACCAGCACTTCCCAAACATGGTGAAGATGGGATGTGTGTCCCATAGAATGAACTTTAAGTGTGGCTTTGTACCCACAGGAATGCAGGTTTTGTTGTCATTGCCCAGGGCATAGCCAGCAGCACAGGAACATAGGACTTCATCTTCAGTTTTGCAGAACTGCTCACAGTCCCCATTGTTGACCTTGCATGCATTTGGTATGACTGCAAAGGAGACAAATGTATAGGCAGGTTACAAATTCATGGTGATTTCATAAAAGTACAAGCAGCTCATAAAACCTCGCTTGCAAACATTAGTCAAACACCCCACCATTTTGGGCAATTCTGTGCAATTCCTGCCAAAGGCCTTAGTAATAACAACAGTCGTGACTATCATTATTAAAAAATGGTAAGCTGTCAACATTAGGTAGACCACTATTATTTTACATCTTACGCTGTGTTTCCCAGCGATAACTGGCAGGTCTTTGAGAGCAAAGGAAGTGATAATCTGTACTTGCCAGAACAGCCATCGTACTAAGGCAAAGATGAACATGGGTTTGGGTAAGAGGCTAAAATTAGCAACAACTTAAGTATCAGTAATAAATTAAGTATTGGGCTCTTGGTAGACCCTTGCAATATTCCTTTTCCATCTGTATATGTCTCATACTACTCACCTTAGCTCAGTCCCTGGCATTGCAAGATCACAGGCAGAATGGGAGAGCTCTTCTCAGCACTAACAGTGTGAGAGCAAGGAGAGGTAAAACAGTCCTAACAGATGCTGTCTAACCTGTTTCTACAGATTCACAATGAGATTCTGCAGCTCACCCACGCAGCCTAATCCACTCCTTAACTAGCCTCATAATGTCTAAAAAGTGTTTCCTAATATCCTGAGTGTCCCTCAGTGTGGTGTGATCCCATTACTTCTTGACCTAGCTGTTTATCTGAGTGAAAATGGAGACTTCCTGCTTTTATTACATATTTTACAAATTTCCTTGGTTGTGTATAGTGGGACTGAGGGTGAAATTTTGTTTTTGTGTTTACTGAATTGCCTCCTATTTATGTTGGACCACTGTTCCAGTTTCACAAGATCATCTTGAACTCTCATCTTGACTTATGGTAGTCCTTCCAGTCTGGAATCAGCTACAAATGCAGTGAGTAAACACTCTCTTCCGCCTTGCATGTCACTGTGGAAAATACCAAGTATCAGAC